GGAAGGCTTCACTATATTTACAAACTATGAGAGTCGGAAGGGACAGGAAATGGTGATTAACTCTTATGATAACTCTTATCAGTTTTCTTATGTATTGTTTTCACAATTGAATTCTCCGTAAAAGATTCAAAACCCAAAGGCATCGCTACTTTTCTATTGGGATGTCTTCAACAGACAGGTGCGCATTGAGGGCCGGGTAGAGAAGGTGTCCGAAGCCGAATCGGTTGAGTACTTCGGGTGTAGGCCTCGCGGGAGTCAGTTGTCGGCGCGAATCAGTCAACAGAGCCGACCGGTTGAAAGTCGCGATACACTCGTTGAGCGATACAAACAGGAAGAGCTCTTATTTCCAAAAGATGTGCCAAAACCTCACTTTTGGGGCGGTTTCAGAATAATTCCCGAAGTTTTCGAGTTCTGGTGCGGACAGACAGACAGACTACACGATAGGATCAGATTCTTTAGGCCAGAATCGAGTGATAGAGTAGACGGAAAGGTGTCTAAAATGGGCGAAGAGGGCTGGGCTTACGAGAGACTTCAGCCATAGTTGTCAACATGTCATTGACGGTGACATCCAGGACACTTATGAATGAATTCATTCCAAATATATTAGCAAATAAACTGTCTTCCATTGATTTGTTAGAAAAAGTCAAAAATATTTATGGCTTTTATTATAATTTTAAGACAAATCTTATATTTTGTTTATATTTATAACAAATTCTTAATTAAACTTATGTTTTCATTAGTGTTTATCATTACGAATAATCATTAAAGTCAGGGAACATGTATTGCCACTTAATATCACCCGTTTGTGGATTGCCTCCGGAGTNGGGAACCGAACGAACGCATCGGTGGCCGACTTATTGGTCACTCGCTGTCGGATGCGTTTGATTTGTTTTAGTCTTTGTACCCAATTTGAGACGTGTTGAGTAGTTGTGGCCGAAGGCGTCCCGTTGTATACCATCGATCCCAGCTATGGGTGCATACAAATCACAATTATAGTCACCGTTCATTCATTGATAGTCACCGTCATTCAAATAGACATACATTAGCGTGAAGTGCCAGCTGTCGCACAAATACCGGTAAAGCGTTGTCAGAAAGCATTTGGGACTCAATGTGTCCGATCAGATACAAAAAGTCTGTGCGAAATGTATGAAGAAATAGAGTCAAGTCATGCAAATATAACACTCGTATGTCTATCAATACACACCATCTTTAGCCTGAATGGTAACCAAATTGCTATTGTATTCAAAAGGAGTGATCACTACAATGGCTTGAATGCACTGTCCGTCGCCCTATAGTTCATAATAGAGACAAACAGATCGTTATTGTGATCCAATGCTCGCGAACCGTTGAGTGAATACCTTAATCGTGGATAAGTTGACGGAAGATCCGCTCTCGTTGTAGACGATGCACACGGAGTCGTTGCCGATGTGTCTCTTTTTGTTATTACAGTTGGGGTCGTTGTCTGAGGTGGGCATGAGAGTGGACACGTGGAAGATCACTTGCATGAGGTTGTCCTCCCAGGCGATGGCATACTTGC